CGCCACAAAGACCTTCTAACCCAACCGGTCCTTCTAACTTTTGACAAATTGAATAGTAAATGGAGCCAGATTTGCTCGGAAGTACAGGGGGTTACTTCACGTAGTCTAACCTGTAGCTATCCAATTGCGTGCGTGCACTCACCAAGCGGCGCAAACCAAGTCTGGTCGACAGTTTAACTAGAGTGCCATAATGAAAAAAATTGACGATAGCCGTTCTGTTGTCATACATATTATACATTGTTTGACAGGTCTGCTAAAAACCACATTTGCTCATGTTCAGGTTCGAGTACACGGCGTTCATTGCTGTGACCGCCTATCAAAACAATGAAGTGACACAGCTGAAGATTTCCCATAACCCTTTTGCCAAAGGGTTCCGGGAAGGCTCGGATCGGGATCCCCGAAACGGACGTCTACCAGCCCAATATTCAGCGAGCCGTCACCGAAACGTATCTCACCCATGTCTTCTGATGTGAAAGTGAAATGTGAGGCTCCGTTAGGGAGTCCATTTATTTTCCCGTGGGCTTCGCCTGCAGTGGATCCGAACTCTCCAAAGGGTAACGAGCATCGTCCGATGCCATGGTACAGCTATTACCAACACCCATTTTATCCACCTATACCATATTATTATCCTTACATGCCAAACTGCTATCCGACAACAACTCCTGAGTGTTAATTCTCTCCAGCAGACTACTAGATTTCTACGAGAATAATATGATATTGAGCTTCGAGTTTTGCACCTTAAATTTGTAATTTACGGTTTTTGTAGTTTACAGTAGCACTAACTCTGTAGGAAAGCCGCAATTTTAAATGTGTGTTTGTATGTAGTTGTAGGGTGGCGGCCATTAGGTCCGATCCGTATAGTCTCACTACCTTGGAATCAGAATTTTAAAAGAAACCCCTTCCATGGTTTCACGGTTTCAAGCCTTATCCATTTTGAGGCTATTAGCGTTGTTCAGGAGATCACATAGCTTTTAACACCTTTTTGAACCCATGTACCCAAAAAAGGGGGAGGGGGAAAGCGCCGCAGTGCAACAGATGGTGCTGGCTGCAGTGAACCAAACATTCTGCAGGGTTAGGAAGCTTTGTGGTGTGAACCATCTCGCTTTCGCTACCACACGCACCCAAGAACTTCCTTTCCAGTGCAGAAATAGGGATTACTGTAGGCGGCACGGCCACATGTCCTCTACGACCCCCCTTCGGTACATGGACCCATTTTGCTCATTTTGAAAACAGTTACATTCAAAGGAGCGAGCTGTGCGTTGTGCAGCCAAGCTTTCAATAGGGGGAATTTCTTGGTGAACTTCTGAGGACTTCCGAGGGAGGGGGGGGGGGGAGAATCTAACTTCCGGACAATAAGTCGCCGCCAAATTTGTCAAATTATGAAAAACTCCTTTCTTTCTTCTCTAAACTCCCTCTGCTTTTAGGATTTTGTCTAACCATGCAATAAGATTTTTGTTTTGTTTATCATGAATATTTTTTATAACATGATGCTCTCATGATTGATCTCGTTGATTGTCAAATTGCTCAGGAAATAAGGGATAGTTCTGATTCGAATATCTTTGTGAGATAAGTTTCAGCATATTTTACGAGTACAGTATATGTTATGGTAATTGTAATGTTGAGCAATACTGTCCACAGTTTTACCCTAACCATTCGGTGCTGTTTGCATTCATGTTTTACATTTGCTATTTTTTATATGTCTGTAAATATTGTATATTTATTGATATAAATTGAATAATACATACTATTTGTTCGATGAATGACAGCGATGCAGCGGTAATGCCTCAATGCAGCAGAAGGCCGTGCGCTAGCAAGGTGTGGTGGCAGGGTCAACCGTACGAGCTATTCGAATGGGGTGGGGTCGTATTTAGGGTTGACCAAAGTTGGCCATTACTCAGAAAAGTGCGAACGGGAGGGGGGGGGGGTGTCGTATTTGTGGGTGACCTTCCCCATGTTGGGGGGTCGTACCGAGATCCCCTGCGAGGAAGGTGAGAGGGAGGGCGGCGTGAAATGCTTCCGAAAGCGCGAACGCGGCAGTTGATCCTGCAAAGGAGTGGGCTATCTAGGAACTACAAAAGCTTCAAAATGGCTTTCATTGCTTGTTGTGGGTAATCGATGAAGTTAGATTTATTTT